GGTTCAGGCAATTCTCCTGCCTCAGCCTCCTGAGTAGCTGGGATTACAGGCACGCACCACCATGCCCAGCTAATTTTTTGTATTTTTAGTAGAGACGGGGTTTCACCATGTTGACCAGGATGGTCTCGATCTCTTGACCTCGTGATCCACCCGCCTCAGCCTCCCAAAGTGCTGGGATTACAGGTGTGAGCCACTGCGCCCGGCCAAGGAAACTATTTTTTTAGCAATTGAAAATTTACATATAACAGGATCTTGTTCTATCTCTGAGACTGGAATGTGGTGGTGCAATCACAGCTCACTACAGCCTGAAACTCCTGAGCTCAAGTGATCCCCCCACCTTAGTGTGCCAAGTAGCTGGAAATACAGGCTTACACCACCATGCCTGGGTAATTTTTGTTTGTTTGTAGATATGGGTGTTTGCTGTGTTGCCCTGGCTGGTCTTGAACACCTGGGCTCAAGTAATCCTCCCACTTGGGCCCCTCACAAATTGCTAAGATTATAGGTATGAGCTACAGTGCCCTAAAAAGATGCCTTTATAACCATTTCTTTTGCTACAAATTGCCCACTTCTTATTCCAGAAGGAGTGGTAGGATAACCCTTTAGTCTCAAGACTTCCTCTAAAATCAAGCTTCTGCTGGGCTTGGTGGTGCGTACCTGTAGTCCCCGCTACTCGGGAGGCTGAGGTGGGAGGATCGCTTGAGCCTAGGAGTTCTGGGCTGTAGTGCGCTATGCCTATTGGGTGTCCGCACTAAGTTTGGCATCAATATGGTGACCTCCTGGGAGCAGGGGACCACCAGGTTGCCTAAGGAGAGGTGAACCGGCCCAGGTCGGAAACGGAGCAGGTCAAAACTCCCGTGCTGATCAGTAGTGGGATCACGCCTGTGAATAGCCATTGCACTCCAGCCCGGGCTACATAATGAGACCTGTCTCTTAAAAAAAAAAGCAAACTTCTCAACAGTTCCCCAGAGTAGCTTGTCCCTTTCAGTCACCAACTGCACCCTAATACCAGAAATGACAAGATAAGTGAACAACTGAGTTCAGGAGCCCTGCCCCCACTCATTCTCCTCCTGCTGGATCATGTCCCATCTTGAAGTACCCCTGGCAGAGAAAAAAGAACACCCTGAGGGAGGGTAGCCTTAGATGAGAAGCACTTTCCAGAAAGACAGTAGCTACTTCCTCTTCTTAGAAAAGTAGGAAGGTCTCTTTGTGTAGTTTGCAAGTACAGAAAAATTTAAAAAAAAAAAAAAAAGAAAAACAAGAAGGTCTTAGAAAGGGGTGGGTACCAGGAGGCAGAGGTTGCAGTGAGCCAAGATTGCTGACATTGCATTCCAGCCTGGGCAACAAGAGTGAAACTCATCTCAAAAAAAAGGCCGGGTGGGGTGGCTCAACGCCTGTAATCCCAACACTTTAGGAGGCTGAGGTGGGAGGATCACCTGAGGTCAGGAGTTCAAGACCAGCCTGGCCAACATAGTGAAACCCTGTCTCCACTAAAAATGCAAAAAAAATTATCTGGGTGTGATGGCATGTGCCTGTAGTCCCAGCTACTCGGAAGGCTGAGGCAGGAGAATTGCTTGAACCCGGGACACAGAGGTTGCGGTGAGCAGAGGTTGTGCCATTGCACTCCAGCCTAAGCGACAGAGTAAGACTCCTCCGTCTCAAAAAAAAAAAAAGATCAGGGCGGGGTACAGTGTGATGCCTCAGGAAGGACAGTACAGCACAGACTATGGTAATCATCTCAATCAAAAGAGAAGAGAGGACACTGGGAGTGGGGAAATCACCCTCAACCCCACTTTAGGGTCCAAATCACAGTTTCAGTTTTCCTGGCATTTCCTTTTTTTTATTTTTTAAAGATGGGGTTTCACCATGATGGCCAGGCTGGTCTTGAATTCCTGAACTCAGGTGATCCACCCACCTTGGCCTCCCAAAGTGCTAGGATTACAGGTGTGAGCCACCACACCTGGCCAGCCCAGCTAATTTTTTTGTGTGTTTTGTAAAGATAGAGTTTCACCATGTTGCCCTGGTCTCAATCTCAGGCTGAAGCAATGCATCCACCTCAGCCTGCCAAAGTGCTGGGATTACAGGTGTGAGCCACCACTCCC